AAACATTAAAACTCTCCTGTGTTTCTAGTCAACAGCGTTGTTAATAGAATACAACCATTAACCGAGACATCAAAATATTCCTAAATTTCAACAAAAATTCAACTTAAATTGCACAATTACGATCGTAATTAATTATGCCCCAAACTCTTTAAAAAAAGAGTTCCAGGATAAGCCTTTTCGTCGCTAAATCGTCCATGGTTCGAGATAAAAGCTCGCGTCTCGACGCGTCGTTTCTCGATATCGAGATTCGATCGATATTGGTCGAACGTTGGAACGTCTCGCGCGAGATCCTGGCGCGAGTACGGTCACGCGAGATCGCGGAGTCACGCGGTTAGACGGTACGCGGGATCGCGTGCGCGTCCCGGTGCCCGTCGACTATCTTCGAAGACGCGTAATAATACGTTCGCTCGACGAGGCACGGCGAATGGTCAACAACCGGCCGTGCGATTCCCCTTTCGTGTTATTCAGTCGACCGCCGCTAATTAAGAGAGCAGCGAGCTCGAGTTTCTCGAATTACAGGGAATCGACGCGTGCGCGCGTATCAGCGACGATTCGCGTGTCCGTCGCGTTCCAGGGCGTCTCGAAAAGGCCTGAGAGCCGAGAAAAAAGGGCATTCCTTCGGGCACCGGAGGGAAAGGGAGCGAAGGGAGGTGGAGGGAGGGGGGGACTTCGTTGCGGTTGACGCCCTTTTCTGCTGCATGTACGCAACAGAGCGTAGACAACCAACCGCTGTAAATTACCGTGACGCGTTACGCGTTACACGCTGGGGTTGTTGCGGCCAGCGACGTACTCGCCGCGCATCGCTCCGAATCGCCACGGACGCGCGCCCCAATTTTCCATATCGGTTTCCACGCTATCGGGAGTACTCGTCGACACTTAAAAACGTTTCTTCGCTAAATTTAACGAGCAAATTCTTTTTAAAATGCTCCACGCCCCTCGGCGACGTACAGAGAATCGCCCCGGACAAGATTTCACGTTTATCCAGGAAATAAATGCACCGATTTATAACGAAACTTCAAGTATTTCGTGAAAATGTCTTTCCACGCGGTAAGACTAATTAATTGCGTCTGCGTTAGGTTAATACTACTGTATGGATAGTATCAGTTTCGTGATTCTGCCAGAGAATTAATTTTAGGTCTGATACGCTGACCGTAGTTTGCCAAACCTTGGGTTAAAGTATTTTACCAAAGAAAAACCATGTAATAAATTAATATTTGTATTAATTCGGACTCGTAACGTTTCGATCCTCGAAGGACGGTACATATCGTTCGTTCTGCTTATTGTAATTTCGCGAGAAATTAACCACAACTTTCAATTATTTTAATTTTACGATTCGTGTAAAAACGGTGGTAAAATATTTCGCAACGAAAGCTTTGGAACGTAACGACAAAATACGTGCCGGATATATACCCCGACATTTACTGCGGTGCCGTCGAGCTGTGTGAATGAATGAAATTGATATTTGTTTAAAAGTATGTTGTTGTAATATTTACTCATAAAACGCCCAGTTAAAAAAACTGTTCGAAAATCGCGGCAAACAAAATCTTAACTGACTCGAACGAATCCTATTTTTTTAAACAATTAATACATTATGTAGTTAGTGTTCGTTCGATGAAAACTCGACCAATCTGAGGTAATTACGACCGCGAAGGATTAATTTATGAATATACGCAAACACGGACACGATTGCGTCACATTGGCGGCGGTCCGTGGTTATTTAACAGTCATTTTGTGATTTTATCTTGAAATTCATTTAAGATCTGGCCCGTGGGCCGTAGTTTATCGACCCCTGGTGCTACACGGTGCACGCGATCGAGGTAACCACCTCGTAACTCTACAGGACGCGTCTTCGAAACGATCGATTCTCTCGTCCTTCGAGATCAGTATATCACGGTTTGACCTACAATGTGCTCCAGGCGCGACTGTTCTGAAATTTCACCTATTAGGTTGATTGGACGGTACGATATTCCCGTAAATAAATAAATAAGTACGTTAATTGAAACCTGGAAGTCCGAGGGAACGTTGGAAAATAGTCGAGGGTCGACAACCTTTCGGGCGAAAAGCGCTAAAATTCTGCGTTTAAAATAGGAACGAACTACCCTTAATTGATACAACAATTATGCACGAAACCTCGTCACCTACGATCGGATACAATAAAATTCTAAACGTAGAACCTAAAAACTACCCTGAAATAACTAACAAGCAACACAGGTGGAAATGCTGGCTTGCATATTTATTTCACCCGTCAAAAATATATATTTATTTAAGTTGCCAAGGGTTTAACCGAATTCCTTCTGCTCGACGTTCCATACGCTCGGATATTCGGTTGATTTCAATATTATTTTTATAAAAAACATAACTCCGAATGTTTATAGAATCTCTCGATAAAATCGAATAAAAAAACCCGTGATATTTACACACCATCAAACGGGATAACATTACCCCTTTACCCTCGACTGAAAATTTCGGACAATTTCCCCCTAAAATTGTAATTCGTTTCCGTTGGATTTCTGATCAAACCTCGGTAAAAAAAATAACTTATATTTGTAGATCCTCGAGTTCGCGATGCTCTCTCGTCGGATCAAGGGCTCGCGATAACTCGGTTAAAAATGTTCCCGTATTAGAACTCGAATCCACTCGAGGGCGAAAAGAGCCCTTCGTTCGGTCGCGGTCCGCGAAAAAGCGACTTCTTTCTCGCGTCACGTCGAAGGGATTCGAGTGGCCAGCCCAGTCCACGGTTGTAGCAAACCGACTACAGAAGTGGACACGGCCTGGAGGAGGATAAAATAAGCGAATCAGCAGGTCGTTGTCGTAATTCTGGCTACGTCACCGGTGCTACCCCTCTACACTCGACTCGGAGGGTTGTATACCCTCGTGTAGAGGGGCACGGCGAGGAGGGGTTGGGCAGAAGCGTGGCAGGCGGGCCGAGAGGGGGTGGCGGGACAGCGGTGGTGAGAGGAGAACGCGCGGAACGCTTTATGAATGAATGTTTCCACGCCAAGTGTGGCGAGAGAGCGAGAGAGGCCCCCGTGTGTCCCGCGTGTAAACACAATAATACCGACGTTTCCATTCATCAGGTCGACCCCGGCAAAGCACGCCGCGACCTCGAGAAATGCCTTTCGAGGCGCCACGTGGGATCGCACACCCCTCCCCGTCCTCGAACCTACCCCCTCTTTTTTATCCCCGACCCTTCGCGGCACTGTTTAAAAAGCGATTTCAGTCTCTCCTTCTCGGCTCGCCGCACAACAACCCCCCTGGCATCCTATCGAGCTTCTTGAACGCGCCGCCGACCTTGCCTCCGCGCCAAACACGGAACAATTAAGGTCTCGCTTTCTACCAAAGGTCCATTCCAACTTCGATAATAACCCAACGCCCTACGAACACCGCCTATACACCTACCGAGCGAAACAAATATGGATAGTGATTTTATTCGAGACCCCTTACCTCCGCGGACCGATCTACAACACGATCCTCTAGCACGCCCAGGCAGTGGATCGGTTCTTCGTTTAGCTGTTCAACTACTACATCATCCATCCATGCATGGACTCGTCAGTATGGAACTAAAACAAAGGAAATTAACGTTAGGTTAATCTGAAGTCAAAGTTTTGGTCGACGCGTTGAAAGAAAAGATAGTAGTCAATGCTATAGTGAGACCAAGTAAACTAATCTACCGATTTTAAATTTAATTTAATTTTGATTCGGTCATCTTTGCTTTAAGAAATAAAATTCAGAGCACAGGTAAGAACCGCGCGGGACTTGTTTTCTTTCCTTTTCTCTTCCTTTTCTATTCTATTCGATACAGGCGCAATTATGGCACGCGTGGGGCAGCAATAGGTCGCAAGATGTCGGGAAAGTTTCCGTTAGATTGACGCGTACGGAATGTCGTTTCCCCGAAGGTTGAAAACTCGCGATAACGCGGCGCCAAGCGAACCCAACCAGCGATTGTCTTTTTCTGTTTTCGAGACGCGTTTACGGCGAGGTTTTGTATTTCTCCCCCCTTTACATACGATAATTATCGCCTATGCGCGATGTTTCCCTAATGGAAAAAATTTCATTTAATGAGAATCGATCCCAGAACGTACAATCTACAAGCCGCGCGCAATCATTCCACTTCATCGCCGCAGCTTTCATAACGTGTATTTATAGCGCATCGAGAGATACGTAACTTTAATTGTTTATATCGTCAAAACTATCGAGCGACCGCGTCAAATGTTTCGCGCGTATCGTTAGAAACCTATCATTTCGCAAGAACTCGATAAAATCGAAGTCTAACAGTTAGTGCTATGAATCGCAAATTAGACTACTAATGGTCGTTTCGATATAACTTAAGAGCGTGTTAAAAATTGATATAGATCCGCAGTCATTAAGTTTGATATTCGAATACGCTGGAAACAGCCAGGAGCGTAGTAATTTGTTACATATAATCCACAAAGAGATATTGTAAACTGAGAGTAATTGACAAAGATCGGCGAAACGTCATAGTCGCCAGGTCTTTTGTAAACATCAAGGCTGGCAATGATATCGAAAACGCCAATAAAATTAATTTCGATACGAGAAATGTATAATATTTCCTTTGTTGCGCGTGTTCGACGATAATTGACGAAGAGAGTGACCGTAGATTGATCAGCGTCAGCCGACTTCATTAACGAAATGGAGCAAAAAAAAAAATTTCAAATCGTTCTAAAAAAATTATTTTTGGTTGCAGGGGTCAATTACGATCATTTTTGGTGAATAGACGTACCCTCGAAATCTTACGCGTTTTCGAGAAAAAAATTGTTTACTTCTCTAATCGTGGCCAGAAATGTTTTTATCATTTCGTGTGTAGGTGTAGTCCAATTATCCGGCGTATTTTATTTTCTGAATATACTGGATAATTAGAATTTTACTGTACATTGAAATGAAATGTCGAAGTAAATTCTCAAGTGTACGTCTGCTTATCTGTGTCGGTTGGCATAACGTTGCGTCGAGAAAGTATCGCAATTTCTGTTTGCACGTTCCAGGCCCCCATGAAGACGAGACGCGGCGGCAGGGATTCCTTGAAGGCGTGGGCGGAGCGAAGCGTTTGGTCCTTAGTATGCGCCATAGAATTAGGTTTGATCCCGGAGCCCTGCCTGACAAGTGTCTCGTTCGCCGCGCTCTCGAACGACGGCTCGCTCGCGAAAACGAGTACGGCGGTTTCCAAGGAATTTCCCCCGATAAATTCCCCGATCGCTGGGAATCGTAATGCGCGCGTCGCCCCGGAATTCGCCGCGAGGACATCGTCGCGGGAGCGAATCGACCGTGTGAAAAGGATCGCGTCGAAATCTGGAATGAACGTGCGCGCTATGGCCACGACGACGATGGAGAACTTTTGGAAATCGTGCAAGAGAAAAGTGGGAAGACCGCGTAAACGGACGAGTCGAAATTGCCGGGACGTGGACGCGAGAGCGTACGCGAGTCCGTGTTTCGATCGAACCGGTAGCGTTCAGCATCTCCCGGAAGTCGGTCGTCGGGCTCGTCCGAGGTACGATTCGGAAAACGTACAAAGGGCCGTGTCTACCGTTTACCAAACGACCAACGCCGCGTCGAGGAACGGTTATCCCGATCGCAAGCTGCAGCGTGGTCGCGAGAGGCTGATCGCTAAACGACGCGCCAAGAGGAGGACCAGACGCAAGAGGACCGCCAGGATCGTTGAAAACGTCAAAGCCTCAAAGATGCTGCTATCTTGCACGAGTGCTTCTGCATCCAGCCGACGGAAAGAGAAAGTCCTCGACGAGGACTCCTCCATCAACGTCCATTGGGAATACCGCGGACAGGATCCGCGTCCTTCGAACGATTCCCGCGGATCGATGATAAACGACCACGGCGGCGAACAGTTTCAAACGACTTGTTACGAGGTAAAGTCTCAACCATTCTCGTTTTGCACACGGTCGATTAACGTATATTTTAGCCTTTTTTGGAAACTATGTACGCGACACTTTCGATTTCTCTTTGATAACGATTATCGACCGCCAGCCGATTTTCAACGAGAAAAATATTTATTTTCAGTCGACGACAGAGAGGGATGATTCGAGTCCAGGAGGATCGTTCGTCTATGAGGGGCGAGCTACGCTGTTGGAGGATGTTGCGAAGGAAACAAGGTCGAGTCAGAGGAGCGATTTTTCGACCTCGAGCCGCGACGAGACGTCCAGCGCGGCGGACGTTCTCGCGGACAAAGATAACGATCCTGGATGGGGATCGAACAACGTCAGCTACGAAAAGCAAACCTCGATGGCGAAAAGGAACAAGATAGCAACTAACGGGAGCGTTATCGGCGCGTCTGTCAGGGACGCCGTGAAAAGCGATACTGTTCGCGCGAAAATATTCCGAAACGACGACGATATCAGAAGGGTGACGCGCGGATCGTCGAGAATCAGCAAGGAGAATTTCGTCGGGAAACTGGTGTGGGGGTGTTGCTCGGGATGGTGGCCAGGTAAGAACAAGGCTATGGTTCCCATACGAAAGATTCTATCGCAATTTGGAGATTTTTCTTCCGCGAGAATCGAGTAAGTAGATTCCAATTTAAAAATTGAACTTCCTGGACGATTCTTCGATGGTAGGAAACTACCATTTTGAGAATTGAAGCCTCAAGAAATTGATGTACAAATTACGATTAGAATTCACGGTCTCGCGTCTGAAATAAATACGTTACAGTGTACGAAATTAAAATCTGTATATTCTTCATTATACCGTTATCGAAACACCATCGATGGATTGGCGAGCCCATCTCCGGATGTATCTGTTGCTAAGAGCGTGGATGAATATGCGATGGAGGATATTAAAAATTTTAATTTTCGTTAGTGAAAGAAATATAATACAACCCTTCCCGCGCGCGTATCGATCTCACCTGGGACGAGTGGAGCCGAACAAATATAAACACAGTGGGAGATACGATTCCGTAGCTTAAATCCGGTATAAAAATTCGTCGGTTCTAAAAGAGGATCACTGTGTCGAGCTAAACGCGCGTGAAACAATACCTCTGGTCCGTGTTGTTTTAAAAAAAAACTATCGAGAGATTGAATAATTTAAAAAATAAGGAAACCGTGCTTAGATCACCGTTTCACACACCGAGTTTTCCATCGTCCACGCCTTGAATAAACATTTCTGTATAATATTCCAGCGTTAATTATCGATGCGGACCATGTAGGAATGCTGTCTGAGGCGGGAAAATTGTGGGTTTACTGGATCGGAGAAGCTCGTATATCATTAGTGAATATGAATTTTTATTTATATTTTATTTTGATTAAAATTCGCTGGGAGCATCACGTCCACGCGTAATTACCGGTTATTACCGTCATTTCAGCTGAACGAAAAAACACAGATCGAATCGTTCTCGTGCAACTTGAAATACAGACTGGCGCAGAACTCGAACGTGGCGCGGATTCGAGCTATTGACGCAGCTATGCAGGTTTTCTTTTTGAGTTTGGTCGTTCATTTCTGTTTAATTCGTTTCGCGACGGTCGACAGAACGTTTCAAGTATGTAGGAATGTTAGCGTCGAATTTGCTTCAGATGCTGCGCGCACAACTGGGCTGCAGCTTGACGAAACCGTATTCCGCTTGGATCGAGAATCATTTCTCGGACGAAATCGAGGGTAAGTCGTGAAATCGTTCTTTCTTTGAAATATCTAATAGATCGTTTTCTTTGTTTTTTTTTTTTGCATAGTGTTGGACGAAATCAAATTTTATCCGTATCCGAACAGAATACAGCGGAGGCTCGACTCTCTGAAGGAGAAAAATTCCAAAGTGACCGAGAAATATTTGCTGGACCAAAAACGTACGCTTTCTTCCTATCGTTTCAACCACTCTCTCGAAACTAGATTCACGATATTTCACCATACCCGAGTTACGAAGCTCATAAATATTATTTATTAGCAATTTAAATTGAATTCGATTAATGCGGTGGTACGAATACATATTCCAATTAAAAGAAACACTGCATTTTAATAAAACCGTCAACAGGACTGATTTGCAATAACGATATGCGCAATCAATGTCCGTGTCCGGAGATCTAGCAATGAGTATCGAATTATTGTTTCTTTTAATTGGGAATTTAAACACCGTGACCCTGAAACTCTGTTTCTAAAAATGGATTTTAAAAAAATAACGATTTAAAAACGGTTACAAGAATGCAAAATATTTAGCTTCGTAACAATAACAGACACCGCGTCGCAATCGATAAAACGGAGAGAAAAAGAGAAATGGAACAGAAAATACATTGTTAATTTCAACCGTCCATTATATTAGCGGGCAGAGTAGTTATGGCGACAGAAACAAGTTACGTTCACACCCGTTGAAATTGCACACGAAGCGTTCGACACGTTTTTCTCCGAACCATATTTTTTTAAATTACCATGATATGCAAAAACTGAATGAAACGATCGACTTCGTATTTGACACATTTATAAAGCACGTGACTATTTACTAAAACTAGGTCTGCGTTTGCAATAGTATTCTACCTGCAATTTCGATCAACAAAAAAAACAAAAAGAAGATACATTAACACTAGAATTACCAAACCAGTCAAAATGAACCATTCGTAATTTCTAACAAAACCTGTAAAAAATTTGATTGAATTTTTGGAAAGGGTATAGCCGAATAAGGGGGTCAAATGTGCCCTTGAACCAAATGTGACATACGATGGATCCATCGATAGAGCATCAAGTAAAAACGTTCTGTGCCAAATTTTAACCCTCTATCTTGTTTGGAAGGGTAGTTATTGAGAAAATTCGGATTAACGAATTTCTGCCTATTACCCCTATTTAATCGAGTACAAAAATTATGAAAAAAATCTGGTGCATTGTGGTTATGGAGATACGTGTTTGAGAATTTTGTCCGATTTTTCGATTCCAAATCCTAGGTGTGAAAAATTGAAAACGCAAAAAAACACAGAAAAATATGGATTTCGTATTGAAGCTTCCGAGACACTAGATTTCTATAATTACTGTAAATGCGTATTGTCATTGGTTATCTCCCTGAATTTTTTCAGATTTTTTGGTAGGGTGCGCCGTAGTAGGAAAAATCAAAAACCGATTTTTTCGACGTTTTTCGCGTGAAAAAGCATCTTATACTTTGAATGTTTGTATTCTCTTTAATAGATAACTATATTGTATGGTTTTAAACATTTCTATGTTGAGCAGAACATTGTATACAAGAAGAAAAGCAAAAATAAGTCACGAAAAAAAAGTGCTACGCGCGATATATTTATTTGAATTTTTTTTCGAAACTGTGTAGGATTTCGGGGGTATGTCTATTCACCAAAAATAATTGTAATTGACCCCCTTAGCTAGAAATAATTTTTTCAGAACGATTTGAAATTTTTTTTTCGTCGAAAAATTTAGACACCTACCCCCTGGTTGATTTTTCTTAAACAATAGTTTTTCATTTTTAATCAATTTGTTTCACGCTCTACAGAAAAAATGGCTAATACTTTTTTATAGACACCGATGAGCTCTACTTTAGAAAAAATTTTCATTGAAATATGTTCACTATTGTAGGAGTTATGGCCGTTTGAAAATTGGACCATTTTTATGGTGTTTTTCTAACTTTACGGGATTAAGGAACAACTTTTTCACTATTGTTATAATGCCTACATATTCTTCACCAAAATACGCGTTATTTGCCGCTTCAAACATTAAAATCCTTCAATACGTTCAGAAGTTATGACATTTTAAAGATATTTTAATTTTAATTAAAATTTTATTAAAGTAATTTTCTATAAGAGAATGAATAAACACTTATTTCCATTGCACTATACATTTCTTCAGTACAAATAAACACACTATAATTGTCGGTAGTTCTAGTGTTAATAATAACAATCGTATAAGCTTCCATGTGAAGTCCTTTCTGAAATTCAAATTTGTACTGTAAGATTGCACTGTATTGACGCCTCGTGATAATGCAAAGTTCATAACGTTTCAGTATAGAATTGTTAGAACGGAGAATTATATTTTTTTTGATTATATCTCCCATTTTAGGGAGAATTGGATTGTGAACGTTGGAAACCGCTATTCGAGCCACGGTGCGTCGTAAGAATGATACTGAGTCGCGTATCTGGTCCCGTGGTTCGCGGCGCGGTTAAAAGAATACTAGTCCGGATGTCGCCTTAACTGTCATTCGTTCGATTTGTCTCGGCAGGTGAGAGCCAGACGAAAAAGGTGATCGAGAAAGCGAAAGAATCGCCGCAACAAAACGACGTGGATACGACGCGGCTGCCTTTGAAAGAGCAGCACCCGGGGATTATAACGTGGGCTAAAATCGCCGGACACAATTGGTGGCCAGGTAACGCTCCCACCCCCCCTCCGCCTCCCGTGTTTTACAATACCCTTTCGCCGTTCCCCTAGAAAATCAAACATTTTTCTTTCGAACAATAACGACTCCTTGTTCCGGCGTTCTTTTGTTTCGAGCGAATGTTTAAGCTTCGCACACGCGCCTGAACCGCCCGTTCCGCGATGGACTTCGGGATCCGTGACTGATCAATACCGAATTGAAAACCGTTGCTCCGTATTTCGAAAATTCTTTCACCGTTAATTAATCCCCTGCTGTATAGTAAAAAAAAAAACAGGGGTAAAAAAAAGAAGAAAAAAAAGGAAATAAAGTATTCACTGTCTCCTCGTATTCGTTGCAGCAATGATTATCGATTACCGGGATTGTTGCATGCGCGAGCCGAGCTTCGGTTGCCAATGGATCATGTGGTACGGCGACTACAAGCTTTCGGAGGTAAAAATTAATTGGACATTATTAAGCTCGTTACACGGTGGGAAATTGAACGCTACGAGATCGTAACGAAATTAACCGGTTTTGACGTTTATTAAAATCGCCGCGGCGATATTGGACCTCTCGCCGCTTCACACGACGAATTCTTTCGCTGCGCGACAGATCCATCATCAGTCATTCATGAGATTCGACAGGGGCTTCGAGAAACTACGCGACTACATAAACAACACTAAGAAGCACACCTATCTGATCGGTGTTCTCCTGGCCGCCAAGGTAATCGATTAAATCCACACGTTAACGCGGTAACGAAACCGCTCCGACGAACAGTAAAATGTTTCCCGTCGAGTATCCGTTCTCTTTTGCGCGCAAAAATTACGATGCTCGGTGGAAAAAAAATATGAATCTAATAAAAAAAACAACAGCGAAAACCAAGGACCGCCGTAATGGACAGACTTCGTTTCGAGCGTTGTTTCGCGTCTTTTAGGATTACTGTTCTCGTTTGGGATGCGAAACCGATAATTGGACGTTGGCGTGCGTGCTCAAATATTTCTCGAAAATTAGTCCGCCGCAGCCGCGGTACGATCCCCCGAGAAAAACCGATTCCGTCAAAATATACGATAAATACTCGGCGCACATCGTCGAGAAGCTGAACGAGTCGAAGAACAATCCGAATATCGACGACAAACGGGCGGACGACCTGAAGAACAGCGGTCAGTAGACGAACCTATCGTTTGCAAATGGTATCGAGATAACGACGTTATTCATTCCCAAAAATTTCTTTGATCCAGATGATTTACGGTCCGTCTCGAGCGGCGAGATCTCGTTGGAATCGTTGTGCCTGAAATGCCTGAAAATTCCCAGCGGAGAAACGGAGGCTCACCCATTTTTCCAGGGATCCCTGTGCAAGGAATGCTCGGTACAAAGTGACTACGAATAACTAGAGAACTAGAGACTAGGCTAACGAGCTATTCGAACGGTTCGATAACGTTAACTTTACGATCTTTTAGGAACAGTACAAACCTCGCATGTTCGTGTTCGGCAACGACGCAAAATGTGTAAGTACAACAGAGTTGGGCGGTTTGCAAATTAATCGATTAAAAATAGTCCGAATTCTAGGCTCGATTCCTTAAAATAAATTTTTCAATACCTAGAGGCTCCCTGTTTAAAAATTTTGTGAGCTTCCGCGGCACGGATGTCGAGATGTCACGTGCACGTGACAGCGGCCGATGAACAGTCGGTTGGCGAAGTCACGTGCACGTGACCACGGCCGTCAACGCGTTGGATTGTTTTTTTTTCTTTTTTTTCTTTGATAATCGATGTTTTCGTCGTTGCTAGTTTTACTGCACGGTCTGCGCTGGTTCCGGAACGGTGATCATCTGCGACAACGAGGACTGTCCGAGGTAAACTCGCCGCTACGATCGATTTAAGCGCGGATAAGTGCCACGGATGTATTCGTAGATCGTTCGTTTCGCAGGGTTTATTGCACGGCTTGCATGAAGCACTTGCTGTGCCCGACAACGTACGACGAGGTGCTGCAGGAAGATCCCTGGGAGTGTTTCCTCTGCCAAAGCAGGTCTGGCGCGTTCCCCGATACGATTGTCAAGCCACGACCGAACTGGAAGGACAAAATAATCGATATGTTCCGTACGAGTTCCAATCCGAACGAGCAAGTGACCGAATGCTGTGACAAAAGGAGAAGTATACGCGTCCTCTCTCTGTTCGATGGTTTGAGCACAGGTAGGTAGAAATCCGCTCGCTTTGTGCTCGGAAATCTGTTCGCCTCTTCGACGGAATTCAATATTTACAATAAGAAAATTTAGACATTTAGTGTCGATTGTAAGATGGGGAATGTTTCAGAACATTTGGATACCTACTTCAGTGGTGTTCTTAGTATAGCTGTATAGTCTTCGTTTCTTGTACCTGTGGTAGCCATTTGTCCGCCAAGATCGTTGAAATTTCTTCTCCTCGATCCACATGATCTAGGCACAAACAAATTGATAGAAGTATGAGAGTAAATTCAACAAAGTTCGAACGATGTTTGCTCCCTTTGTACATTTTTTCCCATTACGCGCAAATGATTTGCAAATAGGTTTTTGATTCGCACGAAGTTGCTGACGTAAGTTTTTCACGAGTTTGCGTTGCATTCTCAATTTTAAATGTGTAAGTAGGAGTGGTCCAGTGTGGGTGGGAAAACAAGATTCGTGTTCATATGTGTTATTATTCTTTTAATCTAACAATAGGGTATCTTTTCTGTTGCAAGAGTCACTTTTGTAATTAGCTCAGTGCTGGAGTTTATGAGACAAAAAAGATTAAGAGTGTTTAGTTTTAGTAACTAAATTTGTATTGGTTAAAATAATTTCCATTTGTAGGTATAGTCTACCCGAATAGATATGCTTGTCTTTAGGCTTACTGGTGCTTCTCAAGCTGGGCTTGACCGTGGACGTCTATTACGCGAGCGAAATCGATCCAGACGCGTTAATGGTTAGCGCCTCACATTTTGGTGACCGCATTGTCCATTTAGGGGACGTGATGGATATAACAAGGGAGAAGATCAAGGAAATGGTACCGATCGATCTGTTGATCGGTGGATCACCGTGCAACGACTTGAGCCTCGCTAACCCTGCACGCCTCGGCCTCTACGGTAAGCCAATCGGGTCAAGAACATTACGTTCTGTTATTACGATATCTACTGCGATCTCAAGAGGAATAACCACGGTACAGGATTGAAAAAAAAAGAGAAATTTTTTTTTTTTTTATATATTTTTAAACAGTATAACTATTTAAAAATATAATTCCAACGTTTTATTTCGAAATTAGAAAAGATAAACAAGTTACAAAATATTTTTGAGAGCGCATCTCAAATTGTTACAATATATTCCCTGATAAACTGTTTATCGTCCGACCGTGGCTCTCCTTCGTTTCTTTAATCCTTCATTTTGGGTTAAAAATAAAATTTTGTTTGCAAAATTCCACGGTTGAACGATAATTACGCTGCTAGAAAAACACTTTGAACGGCTAAATACTTGACAACCAGAAAACAACGTTTTCTTATCAAATTAAAATCTTTGGCGTAGTCAAATATTATCATCACGCTGTACATCGATTCTTTCCAGAATCACTAAAAGTACTAAATTTCGGTTTTTAGCGGTAACAAGTTGCAATAATCCTTGACATTAAAGAAAGTAAATAATTATTTATTCTTCAAAAAAAAAAGAAAGTCTGAAACGTAAACAATTTTTGATTATTTTTAATATCAAGCATTCCTGTACTTTGATGCCGTTAAAATTCCATCTTTAGATTGCAATGTTTTCTTTTATCTCAGACCCAAGAGGAACTGGTATTCTCTTTTTCGAGTACTGTCGAATCATGAAGCTGGTGAAAACAATGAACAACGGGCGTCCTCTGTTTTGGATGTACGAGAACGTTGCTTCGATGCCGACCGAATACAGATTAGAAATGAACAAGTAAGGAAACATGATTCCTTTCTCTGAAAAATCGTGTTTTTGGGAATGATCACAACCGTTGTCGTGTGTTAGGCACTTAGGTCAAGAACCCGACGTGATAGACTCGGCAGACTTTTCTCCTCAACATAGGTTGAGACTGTATTGGCATAATCTGCCGATAGAACCGCACTCGTTATCGTCTCAGTGTGAACAGGACGTTCAGGACATACTCACGCCGCACTGTCAGCGTTACGCGCTCGTGAAGAAGATTCGAACCGTTACTACAAAAGTTAACTCTCTGAAACAAGGTATTTCACGAATCTCCGTTGTCGAAATATATTGAAGCTATGATCTAAGTACGCACGATCTCTAAAAATTAGGTAAAGCGGCCTTGAAACCGATCCTGATGAAGGACGAGAGCGACTCGCTGTGGATCACCGAGCTCGAGGAGATATTTGGATTACCACGACATTACACAGACGTGAAGAATTTATCGGCAACGAAGCGACAGAGATTAATAGGCAAATCTTGGAGCGTTCAAACCCTGTCCGCAATTCTGAGATCCCTCTGTCCCTACTTCCAGTGCAATACAATCGAAACGAATCAATAAGTACATTGCGTATATAAAATGTCTATGGCTAGACCCAGAAGACAAAACATAACGATCACGAATCAAATAGAAATTTTATCTAGATCGAAGTAACATAGCGAAACGAAAATTTTGTAAAATTAAGTTCTCCTCAATTTTGTTTTCCATTTTTATCGTTTGTTTTCTTTTTATTTTTTAAGTCAAATAAATGTCGTTGGTATGTACAGCGCCTCTCACCGATGTAAATAAAATTCTTCGAAGACTCGTTAGGAATTATTTTGCACTTGTGGCCTCATACGGAAATATCCTCTACGGGGCTCTCGACTGGTCGGTAAAACATCGTTTTCACCGGTGTAAGGTGCATTCCTGTGTTGATTTAATTGCAACAATGCACTTGGCACCGGTACGCATCCTGTCAAACAATTTACATGCTGCATCGTGGAAAGTGGTAATGGTGTGCTTATGAATATTTCTTCACGTTCCATGTCAACACCCCTAACGATTCCTGCGCAAATACATTTCGTTACAATCTGACGTTGTCATTACAGATGGGGGAATATGCAATGAACGACCAAACTGAACAAAAAATTTAGTCGGCACAAACGCGTTTTCTCAAATATATTTTTATTATAAATATTAACTTCGACTAACTTCCCATTCATTTTGGTCTTCCAATTCATAAGCTTGATTCTTAAACGCGAATGGACTTAAATATGAAGCTCACCAAAACCGTAACAAGTGCAAAGAGGTGCTTTGTTTAATACTCGCAAATTAGACGGAACAATCGGTTGCGATTCGTCACCTTCCTCGTCAAACCCACAAAGAGCGACTATGTTACCATTCACTACGTTTAAAACGTGTGTGGGTGACACGTACGCCCGTGGAATTGAAATGAACAACGAGGAAAAGGGTATCCTGTAATTGAGAAAGTCTAAGTACGTTACATTACCGTGCTACTATACATTTAACGCATTGACTGCCACAGTATTTTTTAAGGAAATAAGGAAGCAGTCAATATGTTAATTTTAAATAAAAAATACAAAATTACTAACATATATGGCACAGCATCATTAATACCTGAAGATACGGCATCGTAATACGATCTGCACAAATAATTTCCGTATAAGTGACAAGAAAGATTGAGTACTATTAAGTTAGTTTTACGATTTGACGTAATTGTTTTACATAGAATTCATAGGGCTCCGCATGATCCTGCTCAGGTAAGAAACCATTACGAGTTCTCGCTGTTGATAAGGCTCCATGCTTCTGGTCTCATTTTTTGCAAAATTTTGACGCTCGGCCATAGAATTAACCACGTATAACTCGTGGTCGCACGGTCGGCTATAATCAATTATATCCCTACTCCAAGAAGCAGGTGGATGTACCTACGAAGACGTTTATTTGATCGACCATAACCTTGCTGCTCTATCGCGGAAAGGATAACGATTGCAGCTATTTACCTGATTGTTTATAGTTTCTTTGTTCAAGAAACCAACATAATTATTCTTTGCATTCTCCGATGTAATTTGTACCACCAAAGTGGGTTGAATTAATTTTATTGTAAATAAAATTATATCCCATCCGATAAATCGGGTAAAACCCATTGTGTTCACGACGATCGGTAAACGCGACAAAACAGGACAACTCTTCAATTTCTCGATCATCATTTTCATTCCCTCCATATATCGCGTGATGCATGGCACCACTTGAACGTCGCCAATGTACAATTGGAAGACCGGAGTAATTAAATGTGTGAAATTTGGCCCCATTAGTGGCGTCTCTATTAAGCTGTACGATATACAACCTGGCGGTGTACATTCCGTTTGTCCGACGTCTACGTCCACGAGAACCGCCATTTTAGAAACAGGCAATAGACTGTTAATCAGACAACGCGTGGTAGTGGACTTTCCAACGTTTTTACCACCAGCAATCAAAGTGCACGACCATTCGTTCGCGAGCCAACGATTCAACATATTCTCGCTAAGATCTTGCATCACACATTGATCGACGATCAACTCTTTGAAAGGGTATCTATCGACGTAAAGATGCGACTGCAGTATCACCTCGGCTCTTTTTGGATCGGTCCAAGACTGATACGATATATTTTGAATTTTTGGAAACAGTTTGTATGGATAAAAGTCGCTCAAGAACTTCGTCAATTCGTTTTTTAAAATGGACAATAAAATGACCGTCGTGCCGGATTGAATGTTTTCTATAACCTCGACCAACTTGTTCCTCGTGTCTCGAGTAATACCTTCGGCGTTAAGCAACGACCAAATGTCTGGCTGGTTATCTCGCAAAAATTTTTGACTCGTTTGGATCGAAACGCTGCTATATCCTCTAGGAGAGTAAATTTCAGCAGGTTTTGACTCTGTTGTAATCAAGTATCCAAAAACCTCTACTGCTCCGTGCAGTACTTTCAAAACTAGTTTACCAGTGAAGCAGAGTTTTGTCTTTTCTGGCATCACAACAACAACCCTGTTTTTTAAACAAAAAAATTGTAACTGACACTGCTCATCAAGAATACTGTTCCTTTTCTTTTTCATAATAGCAGGTACAGTCTTTGCTTTCAATATACTGCTGTCTTCATCCATAGTATCGAATCTTATATTTTCAAGACATTGTACAAGAGTTCTTTCATTAAAATCCCATGCACTATCCGTAACATTAACATTTACATCCTCTAATGGTGCCTTGTTTTTCCATTGTTTACAATTATTTTTTGATAATGATGTTCTCTTGGTAACTTTTTTTGAGCTACCGGGAATACTATTTGGATTTAACGATTGAGCAACAATGATAGAAGTTTCATTCTTTTGCGAGCTGATACTTTGTGTATAGGAAAGGTTATAGTTGCAACTATTGTTTTCCATTTTTGCTATCTGATTCTGTGTCAATATTTTTGGTATGTTCAGCGAAGATATCGATTCTAAAAATGTTTCAACCACTACAGGCGAACCTAAGTTTCTTTGTTCTTTTGTGCTATTGCAATACTTCTTGCGATCTTTATCTCTGGCTGACCTTGCATCTCTTGAGTCATCGCTCAACTTTGAGGAAAAATCCATAGAATCTGAAATTTAAGCAACCTATTTTCATAATGGTGTTCTTTACTCGAATGAATGTATTATTCCACACTTTATCTTCAACCTGCAAATAGTGTACGATGTTTACCCCAGTGTGCAAATACATATCAAAATGCTTCAAGGTTTCATACCTTTTGCTTTAGCAGCAGATCCTTTGACAGTGGTGGGTGACTTTTTCTTTTTTCGATTTACACCAGATTGCGAAGGTAACTGTTTATCGCGTAACGAACGTGCACTCGACGAAGGTCCACAATCATTTTTGGTCTTTGTAGATTGAGAATACATACTTAAACATTTAAGGAATGACTTTCTCCTTCCTTTTACTAGCTTACTCTTAGTCTTATACTGCGATAACGTGCTGGATTAAAAATTACAACCCAATCAATGACGCATTTTATCAATCTACGATAACGTTGTTAAGAAACGTGCTAATCGCCCGATGTTTACTTACAATTTGATCTGTTTCGTACCACGCTTAACAACTTTAGTTTTTGCTTTTTTTGTTTGCGTCGTTTTTTTCATATCCTGTGTTATGTAAAACACACCTATGGACTAGAAATTATTTACGTTTTGAAAGGACGTACTCGTGGTCAATTAATTCTCGAAGTTCATGTAAACGTATATCAAGCTGCGTTCTCAGAAAACACGCGTAATATGATTGAAATGGAAACATAACCTTAATGTAATTTGAAAAGGGAACGACGGAGGCGACTCTTTAGCGACGCATCGCGGCTACTATAGTTACCATCCAATGTTAATGACACGGAGTCACGGAATTGTATCAACGATAATAACCACGAAAAATGGAGTTACCAATTACGTATTGTTTGTGTGGCCGTTCTTACGATTCCGAACAATTTATGATACAATGTGACGTCTGCAAGGAATGGTATCATGGGGGGTAAGGCTTTGAAAATTTGTCACTTGGATACGATGATCTGAACACTATGGTTGGATTATGCTTCACCAAATCGTACACAAACATTCCCTTGCGTCTGTTTTATAAAGAACTTTTAAGCAATTCAGAGGTGCTTTATTAATCCTTTTTCTGTAATTCCTTGTTTGCGAATAATATTTCGAAAGTGCCTTGCATAGGAAAGGAAACAGTTTTGTTGATACTAACATAACCTATTCTTAAACCACAAGTACATACGTTTTTGTTATTTCAGTATTTAAATAAATTGTATGATGCAATGTAAGGTTCGAAATAAAACATATAAATACTAAAAAATCCCAATATTTACTCCTATATGCTTATTAGAATGTACTACTATAACTTTCATGTTTACCTTTCAGGTGTGTATCTGTAAAAGAGTATATGTCCATAGATCTTGATAAATATCACTGTCCACGTTGTGAAGCCATGTGTGGGCCTTCACTCAGTGAGTATTTCAAAGTATTATGTCTTTTTATAAATAAACATTCAGTTATGAATTTGGAAATAACAAATTGATTTTTAGTAAAAACAAGATTGAATTGGCACAGACACGATTATACAGAATTGGAATCGGATACAAAACCTGTTCAAACTGGCACACCTGTATTTATAAGGGAATTAAAGTCCAGACATTTTCCTAAAGCTGATGAAATTGTTAAACACGTCAGAGGACAGCAGTTAACTCTCCAATATTTACAGACCAATGGATTTGAGAGTCCAATTATCATAGATGGAAAGGATGGACTTGATATGATTGTTCCCCCTCCTAATTTCAGTGTTTACGATATAGAAAGTTATATAGGTATAAACGCGTTATTACACGTATTTTTTCGTCGTTATGTCGCGTATCGTAAAGTCGTATATAAATGTATATCTTTTTTGTCTAGGTGGAGATCGAGACATGGATGTAATTGATGTTACTAGACAAAGTAATATAAGAATGAAATTAAGAGACTTTGTCGAATATTACAACTCCCCTTGCAGGACAAGGGTTCTTAATGTGATTAGTCTTGAATTTTCAAACACTGGGTATATCAATATTCATTGCCTTGCCACATATTGGCTTTAAATGTTTCTTGCAAGTATATGTATAAATTGACAAATAAACGTTGCAGTCTTTCCCCAATGGTCGAAGCACCATACATCGCGCGTAAACTCGACTGGGTCAATTCAGTTTGGCCACGCGATTGGTCCGAGGATAGCGACATAAAACGTCCTGAAGTACAAAAATATTGCCTAATGGGAGTCAAAGACAGTTTCACAGATTTCCATATCGATTTCGGCGGCACGTCCGTGTGGTATCACGTACTGCGCGGAGAAAAAGTGTTCTACTTGATCAGACCCACGCCCGCTAATATGCAGTTGTACCAGCACTGGATGTGCAGCTCGACTCAGAGTGAGACTTTTTTTGGAGATCAGGCCGACGCGTGTTACAAATGCGTGATAAAGCAAGGACAGACCATGATGATTCCAACAGGGTGGATACACGCTGTGTTAACTCCAGTCGATTCGTTGGTCTTTGGTGGGAATTTTGTACATAGTCTCAACATTCCGATGCAAATACAGTGAGTATATGAAAACGACCGGCAACGACAATGGATTCGATTAGTATCACTTTAATCTTGATACTTCACAGAATATACGAATTAGAAAAAAAAATGAAGACTCCCGCCAAATTTCAGTATCCTGGTTTCGAGACAATCAATTGGTTTGCAGCAAAGAAATTGTTAAAAGAACTGAAAGAATTAAATAACGAGGGAAAGAAATGTCCGGCGTATCTTTTACAGGGCGTTAAAGCGTTACTCAGTATTCTCAAACAGTGGAACACAGACAAAGATGTAAGTTCGTTTTTTCCAACGGCTGGAGCCATTCTATTGTAAATAGTATTTCAATTATGGACAGTCCAGAGGTTATTTCTATTTCAGTATAATATGATCAGAAGAGGTCAAATACCAGAAACAATAAGTAGTCAGAAACTATTAAAAGACTTTAGTAAAGAAATACGTCACGCGGAACGATACTTGATATCTTTGAATCCTCCGAAGCCAGAACGGGAGAGCAAGCGCAAGAAAAAAAAACCGTTGAACAAAGACTTCGTGGATTATGACGTTGCTGATAGAATGGCCGATAACCCGTTCAAAACAATGTTAAAGGAAACAAATAAAGTAGAAGCTACGATTAACGAATCACTGCCGTCCGGTCGACCACCGTTAAAATTAACTTTACCAAAACCTATTATGTATCCGTACGTTAAAACTCAGAGTGCAATTGTCGACGAAAAGAACGGTAATTCTCCCGTTGGCAAACGACCGTCGAAACCGGGGAAACAGAGCCCGACTGTAATCAGATTTAAACTCGGCAACAACGAAGTCGTGAGGAGTACGCACGACAACATAAATGTATATAACAGTTTAACTTCGGATCATCCTCTAGGGACGACGAAAGAATTAACGTGGAAACAAACCTCTATATACGATTTTCACGATGGAAGTAACGAGAGTGATTACGGTAGATTCACGATAGACGAATCACCGAAACGAAAGAGAACGTCCAAGGCCGCTAACTCGAAGCGATTGAAACGTGATTACGACGGGGATGTTGACGTTCTGAGCGATGTACCAAAAAATGGCATTGAAGAACTATTGAAAGCTTCGGCGTATACTTTGGGAAACGGTGCTCAAAGACTGGACGTAACGTACGTATACCGATTGAACAAACACAGCGAACAAAATCCCGTATATTACAATGTTAATTAATTTTAGGTCTACAGTGATTCCACAGTATAGCCAACCTATGCCACCGCCTACTGGGTAAGAATATTAAAACATGGCACTCCTCTAATGCAAAATGTACTCGCTAAAGCATGTTTAATGTTGATTTGGTTTTGCATTAGTTACTTTACTTTCCGTTTGTAGTTCTTTACCGTCGTAACAATTTCATGGAAGTGTAATTTATTTTTGTTAGTGTAGCACTGTTGCGTTTTACGTTTTTGGTGTCCTAGTATTTATAAATTGAAAACGACCAGTTCTGGCAGGGCATCTCCATCGACACGGGAAGCGATCGCGGGGATGTTGTCATTCAGCGAGCAATGTTATTCGACCACGTCGAATAGTACATCGAAATCAACAAAGACGACGAAAACACAACCAGACGACGACGACGACGATCAGTCGATAGAAAACATCGACAAGGTTCATCAGGACGATGACTTCAGTATGTAATGACATAAAGGGATTGTTCATTTGCATGATTATAATTCTATTAGTAACTATTATTGCATAATTCCGGATATAGTTTATCCAGCTTTAGACGCGTCGGACGATGAAGATTATATCTTTAAATCTAAATCGAAGAGTCAAATAGACGAGGCATGGAATCCGAAAGCTAGATTGGGGCCTCTCTTGCCAAAGACAAATCGTCCAGCTCGAGAAGGTGTAAAGAAAACGTCGGTTGAAAAAGGACTCGAAGCAGCCGCGGCAAAGCGTGCTAAACAATCGGTACGCATACATTTTGATATTTCGCTTCCTTGCATTGGATTCACCGTCTAACACGAGTTCTGTTTTGCAATGTCCCTTGGACGATTGTTGTACAGTTTCTCATCCCAACACACAATTCAATTTTCGAGGAATATAAATTTTTGTAAAAACATGATTCTGAATTTCAATTCAATTTAGTTTTAAATAATATAGAAAAGTTTCCTAAATTGTATCAGTGTATACGTTTCATTATATTTTATTTAAAAGTACTTTGTATAGTACGAATATGCTACATACGTATCGAAACAGCCGAGCAATGACCTCATGGTAGCAAAATACCGTTCATACTGGGGTTCATTGAATCTGTTGCGAAGTTACAACGCGTATATGGTACTGAGCTTCTGATTGGAGAAATGCTATCGAAAACGCCACATTCTACCAATTAGGAATCACCTATGTGAAGACTGTCCATCTTGCGACAAATCCAATGACCCCGTGTCTATGCACACGTTTCACACAGATACACATTTTCTTGTCTTGCCTAAATTAAAAACCTTTACGACACATTTTTTGCAAAATTTTCCTTTAAAAAATATCTACAAAAACGGTAGACTAAAGCAGTCTGTGTTTGATTTCATACGAATGAAATACATAATTACATGTGTTATATGCATGCCATTTTATTGAAATATGGAAAAATATATATTTAGTATGTTATTCCTTATTATGAAAGTTCATCGAGATTGTAAAACAATGCATTCGCGAGGAGGCTTTTCCCCGCTCATTATTATTAATTGCAAGTTCTGAAAAAGTTCGTCCCACCTCTCATCCTCAATTTTGCGCTTTTTTCTACAATATAATTTTATAATTCATATTTTATTTAATTTGGTAAATCGTACAGGCCTATTATGAAACACGAGCAAACAAACCTAACCTTAATTCAACTGTTCTTAAAATACACGAGCGATTACACTGCTTCAAATGCATGTAATACGTGTATTATTTTGGTTTAATGCATATTCTCAAGACATTATATACCTATCAAACGCTCGATGTAAAAAATTATGCGTTTTTATAAACATTCATGTTTTTTGAAAACTGAGGGTAATAGGTTAATTTTTATGCTTAATTCATAATTAAGATGAGAAACTGTAGAAGAATTATACATTAGATACTGCAAAAACGAGATTTTTTTTTGGATTTTTTTATCACTCTAATTACATTAAGTCCAATGGTGTGTCACCAGAGTGTGAATAAATTTAATTTCGTCATGTTACCCAAATCACATTCATTTGTGCCAGATTTTATGTTACGTATATATAATACAGGTTCACCTGTTTGTAGCACAACTTAATTCATTTTGATGTTCTATGTATATGCCATCTTATGTTCATATTCATCTTAATTTCCATGATTCTTGCATACTCGTATTGCGTAGGATGATTATCTGGATAACAACATGGATAAGGGCTCCAAGAAGAAATTGGTAGGCATTATTATGGCTTTATGCTTCATTTTGTAATATGCATTCCACATATCTTGCTTTCTCGTTTTTTCTCATTCATTTTAAAGACTCGAGTAATATCACTTTTCATTGTGATTTTTTCATATTATTAATTATGAAAATCCTGTATATTTGATGAAATTCATGTTTCGTAATTGTTATTGTTCATCTCACGATTATCGTTTACAAACCGTATTTGTGTATATGTTGTCTTTTTATTTAAGTGTAAGATAATAAACATGAAACTAAAAACCATGCTTCTTTTATACAATATAATAGAATACAACTAAACGGACGTATAATAAAAGAAAACCGAAGAATTCGCCCGTAACTTCGGCATCTGGCACATCGACTATGTCTCCAGAAAATACTGTTAAAACGAGCATAGGATTTGGTTCGATATTGACGAGCCCGAATAGGCTAAAAGACGTTAAAGCGAAACTAGCAGCCCCAGTTCCAGTTGGTAATGTATCTTTTAGTCAGTATGTCTTATGTGGAGAATTTTGTATGGATAAGCTTCTGGACAATAATTATTACTGAATTTTTAGAACGAAAACCAAAGAAAGGAATGAAAACAGCTAAACAACGCTTGGGAAAAATTTTAAAGCTTCACAAAATGATGCACTAGATAGTAAACAAATATACAGCGAAAATAATCTAAACATCACGTCATTTTCTTCATTTGTGTATAAAACCATATAATAGGTGTACATTGCTATGTAAATATACCTTAATCATTAAGGTAACATAACTAACTTAAGACTCTAGTTTTACAAATTATGATCGCTTTTTTTAAACAAAATATTTATATTTATTATCGTATTATTTAATTTTAAGACGATATTTAGTACGTTTTGATACTTGAGTACTTCGGTAAAGCGTTATTCACGTTATAACGAACAATTACTGAGGATTTTTCTAAATGCACGATTCGATTTTAATGATTTAGTTGATGTCAACTCGAAAGAACAAATTTCTCGATCAATAAATGTAAAGAGGCTGTAGTATATTAAATTTCTTTTAATTAATTATTTAATAGCTATGATCAATTTCGTACGTCGCAATAATTATACGACGATTAGCAAATCAAACAAGGAAACTGAATATTTAGTTCCTAAAAGTTTGCTAAGAACTTTTTACCTGATTGTATTCGTTTCTTTATTTCAGAGATTCGTGTTTACGCGTATCACGAGATACGAACAAACTTTCTTTTTTTTTTATTCCGATGCACAGTAACATTTAGATTATAATACATTTTATGATATAATTTCATTCGTTTTTATCACCATGGATAATACACGTAATATTCTTTTACATCCGTCTACTACATCGTAATTGATCAAATAGAAACGAAAAAGAACTAATGCGAAAATTGCACTCACACATTGTCTTTGTTATTGCGATACTATGTCGTAACATGTATTAAAACAATAACTTTTTCTACTTTATAAGATGCGTGAATGATGCAATCATTAATTTTCAAATGAAAATAATTGTGGGACTGGTATAGTATTGATAACCGCTAGTTTTTATATACTTATCCAACATGCAGCAAGAGTAATATAACTGATTGTTAGATAATTTTTGGACATTATTGTGAAATACGTATTTTTCTTGCAAATAAAAACTCCAAGTATCGATACAACTTTTGAACTATAAACATTGTCGCTACAGATACACTCACTATGTTGTACAGTACACAATCGATATTCTTATAAACTTTACATTTGAATTGTAAAATGCAGATAACTGGCATTTTTTTTGTTAAACATTAAACGTAAAATAATTAATAAATCATTATTTATTTTTACGACAGACTCGATGAGTTCGTTCTTTAAATTTATATTTGTACTAAATTTTCAATATGCGACAATGTTGCGTACGTATCTCTGTATAATCAGGAAATAACATATTGCCTCAACGGTAACATATTGTGTGCAATTGGCTTATGTATATGGGTGCGCACGTGCAACGTACAATAACGCAACAAATATAAATTTTACGCAACTGTCATTAACTGTCGTAAAATAAAGTCTTCAACTTAATAACAGTTAACGTATTTTTATTGACACCAGTAGTTGCGATAAGAATTTCGTCAACGTGTATTTACGCGTTTAGTCTTGCTTTAATCGGAAAAATCTAAAAAATACATTGGTCAAAGTATCATTACAAAAAAAAAAAACAAAAGTAAACAAGTCTCATCTTTGCATTAGGTACGATATATGATATTCGAGTCGGGATCAGGTTAGACTACGCGGTCTGTTTAACGTCGAGTTTCGTAGTGCGTCAAGGGGAGTCCCCTCTCAGTAAGAATGATTACCGTTCACTTATCCAATCGAAAATGACTTGCAGTTATCCAAGCATTATTGTAAATGGTAGTCTATTTCATATTTTCCCGGTAAATGTTAGAGCTTAAGGTAGTTGAAACGCATGCGTATGGTTGTCACTACTCAGGAGCTAAGCTTTGTAGTATTCAATGGTACCTTGACTGGTGCTGGTCGCCTGTGTCAAATTCGTTATTAGTCCGTTGTGTTTCCGCGAAAAACCTATCGACCATTATACTCGCAGTTTTCGTTGATCTATCGCATTCAAGCATAAATTACCACGTTTGTCGGTCGGTTTCGTTGTAACCATCTGTGTTCAATCCATGCGTTAAATTTCCGCGTTTTTCTTCGAAAAAATTTTTTTTTTATATTTTGTCGTGTTATCGGTACGTAACGTACGTGCGCGCGCGAATATAACATGCACACGTAGTGCACACAATCGTGAAGCATTGGTGAATTAATAGGAAAAGAGAAATTGTGATGCGTGATAGTATCGACTGAGGTTTCGATTGTTTTTTCACGAGCGCGTGGACATACAGACGCCATCGCGTGTACTTGACGTTTGCAAGGTAAGCAAAAATGCACTTTTTCATTTTTATATTTAAAGAACAACACGTATTTATACGCAGCGTGTATCTTAGGTTAATTCGTGAAATGATAAATCTATTGATCTGCGCGATTGCGTCGGGTAAATTGTTTTTTACTCGAAACGTACAATCTGGTCGTTCAGCGATCGAGTTAATTCGAATTTAGATATACAAATTACACAAAGGCTAATATTCATTTCCGCATCTGCAGTAATACATATATAGTATACTGCATTGAACTTAAAATAGATTACTCAGAACTGTATTCGCCTTTTCGCTGCATGTTTAAAATTAAAACTGCAAACTATAGAGCGTAAATATAATGTCAGGCGATAATGTGAATATGCATGTTATCTATTAGAAGAAAGTAAAGATATTTATTATTATTTTAGTATGCAGAAATTGAAAATACAACTCTCAGATGTCGGAATTAATGCTGTTAACCCAGACCGCATATGTGAATTTTTGTAGCGACAATTCTGTCGCGAGAATAATATAAATTTAGTGTCAAGCTTAATCGATGCACTTAAAATGCAATATGTATTCGAATAATAAACTTTCCACTCATCTATTTTACAAGTGGTTAATATTCAGATTGTCGATAATATAAATAAATATACCTAACCCTACTCATCATACCAATAAATATACTATATTTGTGAAACTTCAGCGTATTAATGTCCGCGTCCGATGAAAAAGCGACAAACTTCTTTACCGATTAAGTGGGAATAACGGATGAACTTCGAATACGAACCTAACCGATTAAAAAGTTTATATGCTACACATAACCAAATTACAATACGGACTATTTCTAAAAATTTATTACGAATGAAAGTTCATATGCATATTTGTCGAAGGTCATTGCTATTTGTAGGTAATTCGTTTCAGTAAAAATTACTCGAGTATTATCGTAACACGTTCCGCACATAGTTCAAGGTGCCTTTTATTATGACTACGTAACGTTACATACAATCAACGATAACAGCCGTGCCACAAGGGTCTCAATTTTAACCTCAAATGTAGATTATACAATCGACAATATCTTTAAGGAAACTATTTGAATGCATATGTCATTTTTAGTATTAAATCGTTATGCCCTCAGAAACGTGCAACAACCTTTACGAAATTTATTTGAAACGAATGCTATACGCTAAATATAATCGCGAATTGGCTACAAGTGTATGAGCGTATTTTCTGGTATTTAATCAATTTAGTTTATCGAGATTATGTGTAAGGGAATTTGAAAATCGCGTGATTTGATTTCGTATCTTCTGATATAATTTCAATTTACGATGCACGACGGTTATCTCGTAACGATGCTGATCATCGTACCTACGTTGAACAAACGTGTATTAGATAAGGAATATATGAAGATGAACTTCGGAGAAATATGCAGTCGCGTTCAAAATGCAGTAAAATACACATAATTCCAATTTTTCAATAAAATGGCAATAGAAACACAAAAATATATGAATATATGTATATTATAACATACCAATCCGCCATTTCAAATTCGGTCCGTTTGAATTTTCCAACTGCCATGGCGTCCATTGTGTGCCGGCAGCATCCCATGTACTCGAACAACACTCAAACACTGTAATGGACATAAAACAGAAATTTTAATCAAATGTATTCAAATAAATATGCCTACATCGTAATTACGCAACAAATGAACTCGAAATATGTTGTACGAGATATGTAATTTCGTTTGAACAGATATAACGACGATTGACACCGACTAGATATCAGGGGGAAAAGGCGCGAAATCGATTTAGCTTTTTTCACGATCCCGAGACAATTTGCAACGAAAATGTATTAATATTAAATGAACGTATCGTTAGAGAGTAACGGAGACCAGTAACAGTGATTAGAAATCCGTAGATGCTGATAAATAAATGTACGAACCTTATTAACCGTGAAACTATCAACACGTCTTTCCGCGCCAATTTCCATCAAACGAATGACGACACCGTCGCGATAGCCGGTACGTAAAAATTAGTGGGGGATCGGAAAAAGACGCACGTCACAATACTCAATGTCTATTTCCAAAGGAAAGATGAAGCCCTCGAATCTCGAATTACGTTGTTTACGCCTGAGATCGAGGGTATCCCGGACAGAAACTACGACTGGAAAAAAATTCTATAACGATTCTACCCCAAAATTGAATTAGCCAATGATTTATTATTACCTTCCAGATGTCACTGTGCAAAGTATCCGTTCGATATTTCTTAAAGACTAACTATCGATGGTATTATACGATTCATAAGTAACTAGATCGATCTAATTACTTTATAATATGGAACTATTTATTAATTTTCGATCGAAGTTTCAATTAATTTAGAATCAAGAAATTCTTTAACGTTAAAACTCTTCGCCTGTAGTGCATAGAAGCATAGACGAAGTGTGGAATAGACGTTGCAGGGAATGTTTTTTTCGTAACACAAGTATTAGGATCACAGACAATGAATAAGATAGATGTTACAAGCGTGTTGTTTCGTGTCACACAGGCAAATGATTCGCGAGCTCAGCTCCAAGGTTAAGTCGAGCGGCCGAGAACTGTGAACGTAAACACAGAATGACCGATCTTTCAAGCATAACGAGTCTATCGGGTCGTTGTCCCTGGCTTATCAATGCTAGCTATGGTGATTCTTGCATTGTCAAAAATTTATACAAAAAGCATTGATTAAAATATCGATCAAAAGTTACTATAGTTCCATATTATAAAGTAATTCGATCGATCTAGTTACTTCTGAATCGCATACTGCATCGATATTTCGTCTTCATAAAATATCGAACGTATGCATCACATAGTGACATCTAGAAGGTAAGATAATAAATTAATGGGTGATTCAATTTTGGTCTGCAGCCATTATACTATATTGCTCTTATAGCCGTAGTTCCTACGTATCGCGAGCCAGGTGTCCACAATGTAATTTGAGACTCGAGGCTTCGTCTTTCCTTTGGAAAAAAGTCGTTGTATATTGTGACGTACGACCTCTCTCAAACCTCTGCTAATTCCTACGTGAATCGTTTGGTGGAGATTGGCGCGGAAATACGTGTTGATAGTTCGTACGTTTACGTATCGGCATCCACGCATTTCTAATCGCTATTACTAGTCTCCATTGCTCTCTAACGGTAGGATCATTTAATATTAATACATATTCGTTACAAATTCTCTCGAGATCGTGAAAAAGCTGAATCGGTTTCGCGCCTTTTTCTTTGATATCGGGTGTCGGATATCGAGTCGGCCATTATGTCTGTTTAAACGAAATTACATATCTTGTACAACATATTTCGAGTTCATTTGTTCCTCAATTACGATGTAGGTACATTTATTTGAATAATTTGATTGAAATTTGTAATTTATATTCCATTACAGTGTTTGGTTACTGTTCGAGTACATGGAATGCCATTGGTACGCAATGGCCGCCATAGCATTTGGCAAAATTCAAGTGGAACGAATTTGAAATGGAATATCGGTAAGTTATAATATATATTATTATAACTGATGTGATATTCATGCATTTTTGTGTTTTTATTGGCATTTTATTGAAAAATTTGAATTATGTGTATTCCACTGCATATTCCTGAGTGTTAAATATTTATTGATTTTGTACAAATTGTTGTTTAGATTAAGTAGATGTTTAGATTGTTTAGATTATTAGTATGTTTAGAGGCATGGAATGACAGGTTTATTTAACTGTTTAGTGATGCTGGTTGTTTGGCAAGGAGCAGCTCGCCGTTGCCTGAGTTGCAGCGGGCAGCGCACCAACCAAGGTTACCAACTGCGCCATCGTCATCGTGGATCAGTCGGTGATAGATTGAATCGATATCAACTCGTTGGAACCGGGTAAGTTCTCATGGTTCATTGTTTCTTGCGTGGACAGAGACGAGATATACGAGGTCTCGTATATCTGGTCTGTGGTACCACCGTTTTGTAACTGTGTTCGACGCTCGAACACCAGATCCAGATCGATATATCATCGACTCGAAGACTGCAGGCGTTCTGCAGTACCCGCAGACACCACATGTTTCCCGCGGTTACAGATAAGCTAGTATTCTTTCGTGCGAGAATCTGTCGGTATATGTACCGGTTACTATGAAAGTAGCCTAAGTCATATATTTCTCGTTTCGAGATTCTAAAGAAATATTTTTCTTCGCGATTCATTGAAGTTTTATTAAACATCATCCATTGTATTTTTAACCAGTTAATTGGTTGTTTATCTGTATCTCTGGTTCAATGTTACTTCCTCTATCGCCATGCATGAGGAAAAAATGACTTATGTCACTATCAAGCTAAATAATAATAATGATAAAGTATAGTTGATATGGCAAAATAATGACTAAAAATTTTAATTTGTTTGGTTTCGTGATTCAGATCACTTTCGTAATAACCTATGAAACCTATCAAATGTGTTTTATCAGTAAACTTTGCAGGGTTAGATTTTAATAGCGGCTTATCAATTTCGCTCTTTACTAACGTATACAAAATAGACATCATACTATTCAACTTTTCTCTCCACAGTGCCCTTCCATCTTTTATCAAATTTAAGATATCAACCGTCCCATTCGCGTGACTCACCCTGTAGATACATATTTAAACGAGTTAGATTGCAGTGACTTTTCTAAGTCGGCGGTTCGCGTGGACGTTTCCGTATGTGGCCAAATTTTTCCATGATCAAACGATTCGATCAATTGGCTGGGTCAACGAGAGTGGAGGATTACTCGAGATCCCCTTCCACAAGTGCGTTGACACAGTGCATACCCGTATATTCGTCCATGTGCGAGCGTAGCAGAACGTTTACATATACACGCGAGAACGTAATACTCAAAGTGTAAGTTACTATCGCCGGCGTCAAATTGATTTCAAGTGCCACACTTAAGCACTTACGTGCAATGAACTCGGGCCAGCCGATAAGAAAAGTTATTCCTGTAACGCCGATTGTTTGTTTGCCATTTCATAATCGTGTCATTCATTATAAAAGTGATGCAAGTTCATTGTTTATCCTCAAGTAATAGAAGTTCGCGTGGTATTTAAAAATCAAAATCGATCTATTTTTCTGAAACCCTTTTTAAGAACTATGACTCTTGAAACTATGATTTCCAAGACTATAGATAAAAGTATACCAGAAACAGGGATTATGAACCAGAGTGATCTATGACACAGGCCTTTTCCACTTGAAAGAAAGTTAATCACTCCAAATCACAATCACTTTATTATGCCCTAACGTTTCAATTCAATTGCACTTAACGAACTTCAAGTAATTGAAAAATCGTATAAAATATTGTTTTTATTAATAGAACACAATTGGACCCCTGGGCGATTCTAGAGGGCAAAATAAGACAAAAATTAAGAACACCAGGTAAAGAGCTGCTGAAAATTTTCAGCAAAAAAAAGAAATTTCGAATCGTTCTAAAAAAATTATTTTCAGTTACGGGGGTCAATTACAATCATTTTTGGTGGATACACATATCCCCGAAATTCTACGCACTTTTGAGAAAAAAATTCGAATATGTGGACAAATTCGACAAAATTAAAAAATTTCAAATCATTCTGGAAAAATTATTTTCGGTTGCGGGGGTCAATTGCAATCATTTTTGGTCATTACACATACCCCCGAAATCCTACCCACTTTCGAGAAAAAAATTCCTTACCGAAAATCTAATGTGAGGCCAGAAATGGTTAGTCAAAATTTTATGCGAATTTTTTCTTTGACGGAAGCATAGGTGGAACCTTGCCGTCCCCTATCTGAATTGATCATTCATCTCGATAAAGAATGTGGGAATCGCTAAACGGTCATCGTTAGAAAGGTTAAATAGAAAAATGTAGATTGTGATTGGTTATACAGCGTCGTAAGATAATGTATCCGTTGTTCCAACTCATGAACAAATGACTATACAAAGAATCCAATGTTAAGAAATAATTACGTTAATGGTCGTTACGACAATGAACCAGTTAGTTCCTCTGATGTTCTTCCTTTTAACGTTCGACAACGAAATCGTACACGTGACAAGATTATTGTCGCATTATGAAAATCGCCGACCAGTAAGTTGACTACGCGAAGCCACTGACGCACGAAATCCTGCCTTTATCTCTCTGTGCCTCAATTTGTTATTTTTTCGAACCTAACCGAAATCGTTTCAATTGGACAATGGCGATTTAGAAAACTTAAATTAACGTCGTCCAAAGATTTTTTCGATTGAATTGGAACAATAGGGAGAACAAAGGAACAGAAGCTATGATATAATGGTATACTGCAATTTAAATACAAATATAACATTAAACTATACATTGAGATACTAGTCATTTCTGGAAAAAAAAAAAAATAATTAATTTCCCAAATGTTCGCCGAAATATATAATGAATTATAAAAATTAATTATTAAACGCACAACTGAGGTTAACTTGAGGAGGAGGGAGGATTGACCGCAATTGGTTGCGGCAAGTGCATAATTACGGCCAATAAGTGCCGATAGAGGAGCCATAAAACTTAGCCCGATTCATGCCGGTGCGCCAGTCTGCGATTGGACGTCCGAGCGTTGGTATCTCGGCAAAGGTCGTGCAACTGGTTCGTCACCAGTGCCGTACGCTTCTCCCGCGTTTCAGTTACAGTTCTCTGGCATTTTCTCGTCCCCTGCCGTTTAATTTTCGACAATTAACGCTTCGTCGCGATCGTACAGTCGCAGTTCCGTGTACCTTCGTCGCGACCGTTTCACTAGTCAACCGTATTGAACCAAAGAATAGCAGCGGGACGTGCTTACCTAACCTCCAACGATACCAGCGTGCTGACAAGAGATATTCGATGCTGTCACAGATTTTCGTGTCACGTGTGTAGAAATAACGCGATAGTTTTCCGAGTATACGGTTGTTCCTTTCGATACGTTTAACGATCTAAGGATCTTGCTTGGTACGTGCTTCTCGGAACGAAATTTTACGAGCGTAAATACGCGTGGTGTGACTCGAAGGTGATATGTTTATAGTGCCACGGTTGTGTGCGTTGTTTCTTCGGTGAAATAGTGTCGAGGTTAAGGACGCTACGAAAAGGTGTTCAGTAAAAGTTCCTTCCGACACGGTACGTACACAGTATTTATCACTCCCGATCGAAAAATATACACCTGATTTATTCGAAGAATTCTGTTTTAATTTTTATGTATTTGATTATCGTTGGAATGTGTTTTATTTCACGTGTACGATATACACTTTGTCGCGGATTAAATCCCAACGTTCATGTGGATCGATTGTTCTGATATGTTTATTTCGACGAAAAGAAAATCGATTGTCATTGTCATCGAACTGTATAAAACGCATTCTTCGACTTTGATGGGAGTACGTTTTTCTTTCTCTTGCTAAACTAGAATAAACTTGAACCTTGTATGCATTGGCCATTATTAAAAACTGTAAGGATAATTGTGCTTTTAACAGAGTATTAATTATTCTATCACGTCGGCGAAGCAATTGTGTTCACTGTAGTAAAATACGATGGGTAGATCGCCATGTGGTACCTTCGGCTCTTTTCGTCGCTATTCGACAATTCTCGGTTGGTTTAAGCACAGCGAAGCGTTAATTATTCGAATTAATTGGAAAGCAAAGTCGTTTCGATAATCGGCCCGAAAGAATAAAATTATTAATTATACCACAAATCGATTATAAATTAAGTAAATTTTTTAATCTGAATGGTTCAGATACAAACGAATGTGTGTATAACTAAAAATAAGGAAATTAATATTTTGTCCATTCCAATGCAATACATCCTCTCGTATCACTTGTTCCAAGCACAACAAATTTTTATACAAACCTAAGAACATATTTTTTTAATATGTATTAATTACAGTATTTCTTTCTTATCAGACTAGATACTCGTAACAATAAGAATGAAATTTCTTTGTACGTGGTTCGCTAACTGGACACACGTGGTCTCTACTCCTTCATTTTCGCTGATCTTTGCGTACGCTCGTCCCCACACACGCATCGATCTAAACCAGTTTATACCGGGTTGCCGAGGTGTCTGGATCGTTTAGTTCCAGTAAGAAATATAGGAAAAAAGGAACGACCTCTAAGAAAAATCTGTATAATTTATTACTCTTTATCCCCCGTCGACTGCGGCTTGAACTTTTCATTCTTCTTTTGTCAAGGATCTGCAGTTTTTTGTTCCCACGATTTACACGTACAAGTCGATCGGTACTTACATTTTCGCTCGAAACGTCGTAAAAGCATGACAACAGACACAGATTTCAAGCAAAACTATGCATAACTTTGAATATTCTCGCGAGAGGATATTCCTGCTTCCGTGTTAGCGTTTCCGAGCAATAGGTAACAGATTCTTCCGCAGTCGACGTCTCCACACACCGATCGTTACTCAATCGTTAAATAACGGAGCATTATGAATATGTGCGCCTCATTAATTAATAATTGCCCCGTAGAAACGCTTCTTACAAACCACTGTGTCTCTGTCAAAGGAACAGAGAACGCGTAGGTAGAGCGAGAGATTTGGCAAGTGCAAGGAGAGGGGAGAAAGAAGGAGTGAGAGTGTCCTCTCAACGGTGGTTCTCTTGGATACTCTCGGTCAGTCACATACGTAACGCCGTGCCGTGATCACGTTTTCGTTTCTCTGCAACAGGGACGATTTGTTTCGTCATCGTTACACGCGTTTACATAGTATTCACGCGCCGTTCCCGTCGATCGGTATTTAATTTCGCGCGTGAGTCCGCCTTACCAGGCAAACCGGTGCCATTATCACAGACGCTGTGCCGCTATTATCGTTTCTTATCAGCGAGTGTCGTAACGGGGGTGCGAGTGACTTTAGTGCGTGCCAATTCCTCCTCTCTCTTCCATCTGGTTCAAACAGCGGAC